GTAGCTGGGACTACAGACACGCGCCACCATGCCCAGCTAATTTTTTGTAGTTTTAGTAGAGACGGGGTTTCACCATGTTGACCAGGATGGTCTCGATCTCTTGACCTTGTGATCCACCCACCTCGGCCTCCCAAAGTGCTGGGATTACAGGCTTGAGCCACCGCGCTCAGCCCCTCCCTCTCCTTCTTTTCCCTCCCGTTTGCACTGCCCTCTCTCCCTCCCCCTCCCTTACTCCATTTTCCCTCACCCGTCCCTTCCTCCCTTTCTTCCATCCATCCCAGTATATTCACTGCAAAATTGAGTATGGAAAGTGCTGAGAATTTCTGTATACCTTCTGTTCCTCCTAACCCTACACACAAAGCTTTCTCTACTATCAACATCCTGCACCAAAGTGGTACATCTGTTACTGATAAACGTGCAATGCCTCATCATTATCACCCAAAGTCTGTAATTTATTCATTCTTGGTGTTGTATATTCTATGGATTTTGAAAAATGTATAATGACACATATCTACCATTACAGTATTATACACAATAGTTTCACTGTCCTAAAAATTCTCTGTACTCTGCCTATTCATTCTTCCCTTCCCCTAATCCTTGGCAACCACTTATCTTTTTTACTGTCTCTATAGTCTTGCCTTTTCCAGAATGTTATTTGGAATTATACAGTATGTAGCCTTTTCAGATTATCTTCTTTTCTTCACTAATATGCATTTAAATTCCCTCTATGTCTTTTCATGGCTTGATGGCTCATTCCTCTTTTTTTAAATTGTGTTAAAAACCACGTAATATAAAATGTATTATTTTAAACATTTTTAAGCATACAGTTCGGAAGTGTTAAGTGTATTCATAATGTTGTATAACAGATCTCTAGAACGTTTTCATCTTTAAAACTGAAACTTGCCGGGCATAGTAGCTTATGCCTATAATCCCAATGCTTTGAGAGGCTGAGGCGGAAAATTACTTGAGCTCAGAAATTCAAGACCAGTCTGGGCAACATAGTGAGACCACATCTCTACAAAATATCAGTTACATTAGCTGGGCATGGTAGCATGCACCTGTAGTCCCAGCTACATGGGTGGCTGAGGTGGGAGGATCACTTGAGCCCAGGAGGTTGAGGCTGTGGTAAGCCATGATCATACCACTGCACTCTAGCCTGGGCCACAGAGTGACACCCTATATCCATCAGACAGTTTCCCTTTCTCACTTCCCACAATTTCCTGAAAACCACCATTTTACTTTCTGTTTTTATGATTTTGACAACTCTAAATATCTCATATAAGTAGAGTCATACAGTATTTTTATTTTTGTGACTGGCTTATTTTACTCAGCATGATGTACTCAAGGTTCATCCAGGTTGTAGCATATGACAAGATTTCCTTCTTTTTTAAGGCTGAATAATATTCCATTGTGTGTATATACCTCATTTTCTTTATTCTTTTGTCAGTTGCGACTAAGAATAGATAAAAAATTATGAATAGGCCAGACACGGTGGCTCATGCCTGTAATCCCAGCACTTTGGGAGGCTGTGGCCGGCAGATCACGAGGTCAAAAGATCGTGACTATCCTGGCCAACATGGTGAAACCCCATCTCTACTAAAAATAAAAAAATTAATTTAAAAAAATACAAAAATTAGTTGGGTGTGGTGGTGCACACTTGTAGTCCCAGTTACTCGGGAGGCTGAGACAGGAGAATCGTTTGAACCCAGGAGGCAGAGGTTGTGGTGAGCTGAGATTGAGCCACTGCGCTCCAGCCTGGTGACAGAGCAAGACTCCATCTCAAAAAAAAAAAAAAAAAAGAATTATGAATAATGTTGCAATGAGCATGGTGTGCCACTATCTCTTTAAGATCCTACTTTCAATTATTTTAAATTCAACTGTAGGAGAGGCCTTCCTCTTTGACTTTAAAAACATTTGACTTTTAGACTTTCCAGTCTAAAATAGGTCCTTCATTTCTACTACTCTCTACAACCTTATCTTGCTCAGTTTTTCTTACTAATACTTGACATTGTGTTATATATATACATGTTTATCTCTCTCAATAGAATGTTAGTTGCATAACAGCATGAACTTTGTCTCGTTTTGTTTTGTTTTGTTTGAGGCAGAGTCTCTCTCTGTTGCCCAGGGTGGAATGCAATGGCACAATCTCTGTGCATTGCAACCTCTACCTCCTGGGTTCAGGTGACCATCCTACATCAGTTTACCAAGTAGCTGGGACTAAAGGCACGTGCCACCACGCCTAGCTAATTTTTGTATTTTTAGTAGAGACAAGGTTTCACCCTGTTGGCCAGGCTGGTCTCAAACTCCTGACCTCAAGTAATCTACCTGCCTTGGCCTCCCAAAGTGCTAGGATTACAAGTGTGAGCCACCATGCCCGGCAATCTGGTAAATATTTACTGAGCAACTACTGTGAACTAGTTACTTGAAGGTGTCAACATGTAGTCAGTGGCGCTGCATAAGCGTTATCAACAATAAAAATATGTTGGATTTATTGGAGAAAATGGAAAATTAAAAGTAAATGTCCTTATACTTGAATATCTTTTGTGTTCTTGTTTTGATGTTTCTGAATTATAACTTTCCCCTTTTCTATTTTCAGAATATGAGTGATGCCATGGCAATTCTGCACAAATTACAGACAGGTCTGGATGTAAATGTAAGATTCACTGGTGTTCGAGTGTTTGAATATACGCCGGAATGCATAGTATTTGATCTTCTTGATATTCCTTTGTACCATGGGTGGTTAGTGGACCCTCAGGTAAGTCGAAGAATTTATATAAACACAAATGCAGGAAAAATGTATTAATCTGGCAAACAATTCGAAATTTATATTTTTTTGTTACTTACTCTTTTTGTACTTTTGCCTGGAATTAGCCAAACTATGAGGTTAAGAGCACAATCCTCCATACTACCAAGTCTGCCCAAGGCTTCTGACCCCCAACTACAAGGAGCTAGGGCCCAACTACAAGGTTAGAGGGAAGAGCTCATAGAATACCACCCTTACTTCTCACACCAACCACAAGGTCAAAGGTTTCCCAAAACCGCCCTCAGGTTGAGTAATTCACCAGAACGACTAACAGGACTTACAGAAACCTATTATACTCACCATTACAGTTTATTACAGGGCAAAGATACAGGTTAAAATTAGCAAAGGAAAGAGACGTAGGTCAGAATCTAGGAGGGTTCCAACTATGAAGCTTCCCTTGCATCCTCAGGACATCATACCCTCCTAGAATTGATGTATGACAACATGCATGGAGTACTGCCAATCCTGGGAGTTCACCCCACCTTTAGTTTTTGGATTTTTTACTGAAATTTTGTTATGCAGTTAGGATTGACTGATTAATTGATGGTCTACGTAGTTGAACCCAGACTCCTACCCTTCCCTCCCTGGAAACTGAGCTGACACCATGTGGTTCAAAGGATCCATCATTAGTATAAACTGCAGGTGTGGCCCAAGAGGCCCATGATAAATAACACGGTCACTCCTATTGGTATGGAAATGCCAAGATTTAGAGGTTATCTCATAGGAACCAGGACAAAGGTCAAACCTCTCTTTGGGCAAGACTGTATTCTTTATTGCACAGCTTTGAAAAGAGATTTTGTATTACCCAAAGATTTATTTTAAAAAGGCACCCCCATACATCCATCACTCTAACAGTATATTTCTAAATGTACAGTGACCTTTGGTATATTAGTCTAGCAGTCTAGATTTTGCCTCTTGTTAAGGGTATCAGGGTCCTGGCAGGAAGTAGATAACACATGTAAAGATAACTGACAAAAGTTTAAGGAAGAGACTATTTACAAAGTTGTGGGCACAGTTAAGGGGAACATGCAGGGATGGTGAAGCATCCTAGAGCTAGCAAAGGCAGAAAACTACTGCCATTTCTAACTATGAAAAGACAAGGAGAGGGAATAGTTAGCAGAACCCAGCGAGATAATTACTAAAGCACAGAGCTGCTGACCAGGAGAGGTGATCTTCAGGAGAGGAATACTGTTACCACCAAGCTATGGCCCAGCAGGGAAAGAGCAAAGGTAATCCACTGTCTGACTCCCACTTTCTGGTTTCCTCCATTAGCTCCTAATGGCCAAATTCAACTGATAACTAGAGAGTAAGAATTCCAGTTGCTGCAGTCCTTAGAGGTTAGTCTCCCGAATAGAGAAGAATGGAGAGTTAATTGGAAGGATAAAAAGAAAAAATAATTTTACTATCACATACTAAATTTTTATATAGGTTAGAGTCTTTTCTTTTACACTGATCTCTGTTATGTCTATTCCTATACTGTTTTAGTATTATTTTCACTTATTTACATTTTTCAACATAAAGTAAGATTCAGATTTCAAAATAATACTGGTTAATTATGAACTTTAAAAGAAAATGACAAAGGAATCATACCAGCTAATGCCTTTCAAATTTGTTTTGTTTTATAGTATGAGGTGAAGATTTACCTTTTATATAAATTAAACTTTTCATTTTGAGGTAATTGTAGATTCATATGCTAGTATAAGAAATAATAAAGAATGATCCCTTGTACCTTTTACCCAGTTTTCCCCAATGGAAAAATCTAGTAATTTTGCAAAATTTAAAGTTTGGTTATTTTAATCAAAGCCAGGAAATTGACATTAATAAAGTCAAGATGCATGACTGGGCACAGTGTCTCATGCCTGTAATCCTAGAACTTTGGGAGGCCAAGGCAAGAGGATCACTTGAGCCCAGGAGTTCAAGACTAGCCTGGGTAACATGGCAAAACCTTATCTCTACAAAATATAAAAATTAACCAGGCATGGTGGAACATGCCTGTGGTCCCAGCTTTTCAGGAAGCTGAGGTGAGAGGATCACTTGTGTCCAGAAGGTCGACGCTGCGGTGAGCTATGATCATGCCATTGCATTCTAGCCTGAGAGACAGAGCTAGACCCTATCTCAAAATAAGTAAATAAATAAATAAACAAAGTTAAGATATAGAACATTTCTTTTTTTATTTATTTATTTTTCCCCATTTATTTTATTGCATTTTAGGTTTTGGGGTACATGTGAAGAACATGCAAAATTGTTGCATAGGTACACACGTGGCAGTGTGATTTGCTGCCTTCCTCCCCATCACCTACATCTGGCATTTCTCCCCTTGCTATCTCTCCCCAGCTCCCCAACCCCCACCGTCCCTCCCCTATTTCCCCCCAACTGACCCCAGTGTGTAGTGCTCCGCTCCCTGTGTCCATGTGTTCTCATTGTTCAACACCCGCCTATGAGTGAGAACATGCGGTGTTTGATCTTCTGCTCTTCTGTCAGTTTGCTGAGAATGATGGTTTCCAGGTTCATCCATGTCCTGAATCCCTCCTGATGCCCTTTTATATCCCACCCACTTCTCTCACACCCTTACCCTCTATCCTCTTGTTAAACCCTGACAACCACTAATCTTTCTCCATTTCTATAATTTTGTTATTTTGAGAATATTATGTAAGTGAAATAACGCAGTGTGTAATCTTTTTGGATTGGCCTTTTTTTTTTTTTTGAGATGGGAGTCTTGCTCTGTCACCCATACTGGTGTGCAGTGGTGTGGTCTTGGCTCACTGCAACCTCCACCTCCTGGGTTCAAGCGATTCTCCTGCCTCAGCTTCCTGAGTAGCTAGGACTAGGACTACAGGCGTGTGCCACCATACCCAGCTAATTCTCATATTTTTAGTAGAGATAGGGTTTCACCATATTGGTCAGGCCAGCCTTGAACTCCTGACCTCGTGATCTGGCCTCATGATTTGGGCCTCCCAAAGTGCTGGGATTATAGGTGTGAGCCACCACACCCAGCCTGTATTAGTCTTTTATATTCATCCTAAGTCTCCAGAGCGTCATCCAGATTGTTGCATCTATAGTTTCTTCCTTTTTATTACTGAATAATATTCTGTGGTGTGGACATACCACAGTTTTACTTGTTACAGAGCATCTGGGCATTTTCCAGTGTCTGGCCATTATGTTAAAACTGCTATAGGCTGGGCACGGTGGCTCACACCTGTAATCCCAGCACTTTGGGAAGGCTGAGTTGGATGGATCACTTGAGGCCAGTAGTTCGAGATCAGCCTGGCCAACATGGCAAAACCCCATCTCTACTAAAAATACAAAAATTAGGTGGGTACCTGTAACCCCAGCTACTCGGGAGGCTGAGGCAGGAGAATCACTTGAACCCCGGAGGCAGCAGCGGCAATGAGCCAAGATCGTGCCACTTCTTTCTGGACTAGGTGACAGAGCAAGACTCTGTATCAAACTGCTGTGAACGTTTGTGTATAAGTACGTTTTTCATTTCTCTGGTTTAAATGCCCAGGATTGCAGTTGGTGGGTTATATCTTAGTTGCTTATGGGTTTGTGTGTTTGTTTTTTAAGAGACAGGGTCTTGCTTTGTTGCCCAGGCTGGACTTTAATTCCTGGGCTCAAGTTATCCTCTCACTGCAGCCTCCCAAGTAGCTGATACTACAGGCATGCACCCCTCTGCTCAGTTAACCTGTGTATTTTTTTTTAAGAAAGTGAAAAATTTCAGTACCTGTACCAAAAGTTTACATCACCAGTAACATGAGTGATCCAGCTTCTCTGCATCTTCATCAGCATTTAATGTTGTCACTTTTATTTTTTTTTAGCTATCCTTAGGTAGCAATATTTCATTGTAGTTTTAATTTGCATTTCTTTTTCTTTTTCTTTTTTCTTTTTTCTTTTTGAGGCAGAGTCTCATTCTGTTGCCTAGGCTAGAGTGCAATGATGCGATCTTGGCTCACTGAGCCTCCTCCTCCTGGGTTCAAGTGATTCTCCTGCCTCAGCCTCCTGAGTAGGGCGGATTCCAGTCACCCGCCACCATGCCCAGCTAATTTTTTTGTATTTTTGGTAGACACAGGCTTTCACCATGTTGGTTAGGCTGGTCACAAACTCCTGACCTGAGGTGATACACCCACCTAGGCCTCCCAAAGTGCTGGGAATATAGGCGTGAGCCATCGTGCCCAGCCTAATTTGCATTTCTTTAATAGCTAATGATGTTGAACATCTTTTCTTTTTTTCTTTGAGACAGAGTTTCGCTCTTGTTGCCCAGGCTGGAGTGTAATGGCGCTATCTCAGCTGACCACAACCTCTGCCTCCCCAGTTCAAATGATCCTCCTGCCTCAGTCTCCCGAGTAGCTGGGATTATAGGCATGCGCCACCACACCCAGTTAATTTTGTATTTTTAGTAGAGACAGGGTTTCTCCATGTTGGTCAGGCTGGTCTCGAACTGCTGACCTCAGGTGATCTGCCCTCCTTGGCCTCCCAAAGTATTGGGATTACAGGTGTGAGCCACCACGCCTGGCCGATGTTGAACATCTTTTGATGTGCTTGTTTGCCATTTGTATATTCTTTTGAGTAAAATATCTCCTCATGTCTTTTGCCCATTTCTAATTAGAGTAGTTATTTACTGTTGAGTTTTGTTTTTTTGTTTTATTTTTTGACACTGGGTCTTGCTGAGTCACCCAGGCTGGAGTACACTGGCATGATCATAGTTCACTGCAGCCTCAAATTCCTGGGGTTAAGTGATCCACCTGCCTCAGCCTCCTGAGTAGCTGGGTACATGCCATCATGCCCTGCTAATTTTAAAATTTTTTTCTAGAAATGAGGTCTTGCCATATCTCTCAGGCTGGTCTCAAACTCCTAGACTCAAATGATCCTCCTGCCTCGGCCTCCCAAAGTGCTGAGACTACAGATGTGAGCCACCATGTCCAGTCCCTTTGCCAATTTTTTAAATTGGGTTCTGT